ATGAGGCAGATGGCCACAAAGCCTCGACACGCACTCATTCGCACGCCCATAAGAATGTACATCTGAACCCAGACTCTCTGCTCCTTCCCAGAGGTCCCTTCTAGGCTATGACTGTTATCCTATTCCACAGAAGGGAAACTGGTCCCCAGGAGAGGCTACCTATCCAGTATCCAGTATTCCCCTGCTTTCTAATTTAAGTCTCCCCTGATCAGTCCCATTTCTACAAAAACAATGTTCCTCTGGCAGAGAGCAGGAGAAAAGTTATACAAGAGACCCATTGCCCATTTTCTTTTACATCCTCCACCTGCTTTTCCCCAGAACTTATTTCTTCCAAGACTACCTACCTCAGCCATGTTGGAGGTAGTCTTTGGTTTAATCCTGAATCAAGAGAGAGGAGAAGGAAATGGAAAGTTAGGACGCCTTCATCTTAGCCGAACATGCTGACATATATCCATAACCTAGCACTCTTTCCTAGACAGCCTGGGATATACAGCGAGATCCTGTCTCCAAAAAACAATGACTTGAAGCATAACTCATCATAGAACACTTGCTTAGTACATCAAAGGCTTCATCCTCAGCACCCAACCACAGACACAAAAGGAAAAGGAGGAGGGGTGGAAATCTAGTCCTGCTTCCAACTGGAACCACAGCATCCTCTTTTCTCTGTGCTCCTCTCTTATGCCCAAGGCCTCTACCCTTCAGAACCCTCTCTCTCTGTTTGCCTTCCAGCCACCCAGCCTTGGATTAGGACAGGCCAAGCCCTCTCTCCACACTGATGCTTCTTCCTTCCGATACTGACACTAGGGAGGTCTCTTCCCTCCTCGAAGATACTCCTAAGGTCTCAAAGGAACCAGCCACAGACCCCCACCACCCCACCTAGGTCCTAGCACCATGTTTGACATCACAGGGTCGAGACATGCTTGCTGAGTCCACCCTCTTCCCCCAAGCCAGAAGACATACTGGAAATCCACAAGGCTTAAGAAGAGCTTTTTCTTGGAGTAGGAGGCCTGAATGGTAGCAACAAGATCCTGGGGAGAGAAAGCAGAAGCTCTGAGCTGGGCCCTCCTGGAAGCAGAGCTCTCTACTCTCTGTGCTGCACAGAGAGGCATGAGGAGCAGGGGGTCCTGAGGAACAATGGGAGCAGGCTGAGCTGCCGGTCTTCTGAAAACTAATGGAAGGTTGGAGACATAGCTTGCTGGCCTGCCCAGGTTCCATCCTCAGCACTGCAAATAGAAATAAAACACGCACACACGAGTCACAAAAGAAAATGTTAATTTACAGGATAAAAAGCCTGTAATGTAATGGCCTCTGTGGCGTTTGGAGAGCAGGAAGACTTCAAAGAGAAGAACTAAAAGAAACTATTTTAGAGAATTAACTAAGATGACAATATGAGACATGTTGCATCAAATACATCCTATAAAGCAATGGTATTTAAAAAAAACAAAACAGGAAAAAGCCAGGAGGTGGTGGCACGTGACTTTAATCCCAGCACTTGGAAGGCAGAGGCAGGCGGATCTCTGTGAAGTCAAGACCAGCCTGGTCTACAAGAGCTAGTTCCAGGATAGGCTCCAAAATGACAGAGAAACCCTGTCTCGAAAAAAAAAAAAAAAAAAAGTTGAGGATGCTGTTGGGAAGATGGCTCGGATGGTAAAGTGCTTGGAGTGCAAACATGAGGAGCAAAGTTTGATCCTTAGCTCCCACATTAAAAGCAGGGCCTGGAGCTGGGTGGTGGTGGCACGTGCCTTTAATCCCAGCACCTGGGAGGGCGGAGCTAAGTGACTCTGGGGCGTGCTATCTTTGCGAGCTCTAGATTCAGTGAGAGACCTTGCTTCAAAAAATAAGATACAAGCCAGGTGTGGCAGCACACACTTTTAACTCCAGTGATCTGGAGACAGAGGCAGGCAGATCTCTGGGTTCTAGGCCAGCCAGAGCCAGATAGTGTGACTCTTTTCTCAAAAACCAAAACAAGTCACCCAAAGAAAAAAGAAAAGGCGCAGAGGGGTAGAGAAAATACCCAGTGTCACCTCCAGCATCTGGGTGTGCACACACGTGTACACACAGGAGCACATACATATGAATATACCACATAAAAGCAGATGAAGCGGGGCGGGGTGGGGTGGGGATAAGGCTGGAAGAGTTCTGTCATGGAGCATCTGCCAAGGACACACAAATCCTGAGTTCCACAGCAGAGGAGGGGATTGAAAAGGCAAAACTGAAGAAAGTTGCCCAGCACCTGCGGCTTTGGATGTCGATCCTGTCTACACACCCAACTGCTTCTTCCTGGTGGGTCTGAAACGACCAATCACCAAGACGACTTTCGCAAATCGCTTCCATCCTCCACCTCCAAAGCAAAGCCATCCTTCAGGAGAGCTGAGGCGTCCTCTGCTGGTAACCGGATGTGTCTGCATTTTCACACTCTGGAGATCCAGGACCCTGGATAGCTGCATCTCCAGGACTCTTCTCATGGTCAGGAGCCCCAGCATTAAGAACTCTGGAGATAGACCCGGATATCTGTGCCCCACCAGCCTCCCTGGGTCATGCTCAAAACATATCAATGTGTGAGATCCAGGTACAAATGACTTTCAAATAACCTTGATGTTGAGTTAAAGTTACCTAAGCACCTCTATTGGACATACTTTTCAATGTTACAGCTCCAGGCAAAATTTTAAAAGTATAGTCTTTTGCTTGGATGACCAGTTATTCTTTCTCTGCCCACTATATGCTTCATGAGGTTGGGATTCACATGGCCTGAGCCATGGTAGGAACTCAGGGTGTTGAAAAGAATTAGTGTCTAAGGAATGCAGTTGTTGACTCAGGAACAAATGTGAGCCGAGGTGCAGAAAAAAATGTCCTCTCGCTCCATGACTCCAGAGCCACCTCTGTTCAGGAAGGAGTAAGTCCACAATTTCCCTAGGACTGTCCCCACCAGAACCCATTTTAATGTTCCCCCAATCTAGCCAACCTACAGTGCCAGCCATGTCCTCTCCTCCTGCCCCATCCAACTGCCTTCCGTGCTTTTCTTCCTCTTTTGCCCTCTGAGCCTACGGACACAGTCTCAGCTTACGTCCAGCCTCACCCCAAACATCGACACCGGGATGTCTCACACCACCAACACACCAGCCTTGGTCCCTGAAGATCTAACTAGTTCAGCTTTCTGGAAGATTTTTCTTTCAGCATCCTGGGCAAACAGTTCATGAAGGATGCAAATATGCCTAGCCAAGTTCATAAACAGGAGAGAACCCAGAAGCAGAGAGGGAGAAAGGTACTGGGGACATCAGGGAAGGAGGACAAACTGTGACATCTGGGGAAAGGGGGACATGATAGGTGCCTACTATGCCCTGACCTGAGTTCTTGGCTTGACCAAACTTCAGGCACATTCCTAAACCTCTCCCTAGAACCACTGAGTACCCTCAGTATCTGGTCGCCCTCCTATCTGACTCATCCTCCTCTTGCTCCTATGAGGGTGATATCTAGTCACCCTAGTCGTTGTCAGCAAGAGTCCTGTGAGGTCTGTTCCATCACACTCTTCCCCTTACCCTTGGGGTATCAATTCCCTCTTGACCAAACCTTATTTGGAGTTGAACCTAGCACCCCTGTCTACGACTCACTTCCTTAAAATCTGCAGTGGCCCCTGTCCTTATGGGCGCTGGCCTTACCTGACATTAACAAACAACACTGAATAATTTTTTTCTTTACTGACTACTCTGAACTCCTTGGGGTCTTAAGGACAAAAAAAAAAAGTTAAGTAAACAGAACAAGACAAAACCCCGAGGACATTTTTGAATGCTCTGTGGACGGGATCTTGCTTGTCACAAAAGACAGTCAGTAGGGAAAATAGATAAGGTTCAGATGAAGTCTAGAGCTAGTCACTAAGGCTCAGTCATGGTCATCTCTTCATTACGAGAAACAGAGCCTGTTTATGAAAAGGTTAGGTATTGTACAAGCAGGGGCTATGGGTGTGGAACACTTTGTCCTATCTTGGCAGCTTTTGTTCAAATCTGAAGTTATTAGGAAAAAATAAGGAGTATAGGCTGGCAATAGGCTTCAGTGTGTAAATGTATCTGCCACCAGGCCTGATGCCCTGAGTTCAGTCCCTGGGATCCATACGGTAGAAAGAGAGACCCAACTCCTAACAGCTGTTCTATGACTCAGAGATAGACCATGTGTGTGTGTGTGTGTGTGTGTGTGTGTGTCTGTGTCTGTGTGTGTGTCTGTGTGTGTGCGTATTTCTCATTGTGTCTCTGTATGTGTATTTCTCTGTGTGTCTGTGCATGTCTGTGTATGTCTGTGTGTGTATTTCT